CCACGCACATCCCCGTGCCACACACGCACCAGAGACACGCACACACCGTACTCACCCACGCACATCCCCATGCCACACACGCACCAGAGACACGCACACACCGTACTCACCCACACACATCCCCCGTGCCACACACGCACCATGGACACACCCATACCATACACATCGACGCACATCCCTCGTGCCACACACGCACCATGGACACACCCACACACCACACTCACCCACACATATCCCCGTGCCACACACACACCACGGACACGCACACACCATACACACCCACACACACACCCATGCACATCCCCCGTGCCCACATGCACATCCCCGTGTCACACAGCATACACACCCCTGCACATCCCCCGTGCACACATGCACATCCCGCGTGCCACACACACCACACGCATACACGATACACATACACACCCATCCCCCGTACCACACACACACACACACCCCCCCATGCACATCCCCCGTGCCCACATGCACATCCCCCGTGCCACACACCAGAGACACGCACACACCATACACATCCATGCACATCCCCCGTGCCTACTCACACACGTCCACATCCACACACATCCCCCGTGCCACATATGCACGACACACATACACCCATGCACATCCCCCGTGCCACACACATACCAGAGACGCAAACCCATGGAGCACACAACATACAATCTACGCAGACATACACATCACAGCTCCCGCCCCCAACAAACACCCACCCTTACAAACGTGCAAAAGCGCCACATGCAGAAACGCACAAGCAGCACACAACACACAAACACAACAAATTCACACACGTGAGAATGCCACAACAAAACACAACACATGCGCAAACACCCCGTATACAAACACCACAGACACACAGACAATTCTGTGTGCGGAATCTTTCTTTAAAACTCATCCAAATACATTTTGGGGGCACTCACCAGTTTCTTACAACAGCGGGTCAAACCAAGGATTTGCCCCTCCCCCAAACACCCCGTCCCTGCAGCCTGGCTCAGTTCCAGAAGGGGGGGCTGCAGGGCCTGGGGGTTATAAGCTAGGCAGGCTGTGGCGGGGGAAAGTACATTACAACCACCTTCAACCACTGAGCAGCATAAAATCATCGTGGGGGAGGGAGACGCTCCCTCCTTTATTAACCCACCCGCTCTAAAATATTTTAAAATAGTAAAAACACCCTCATTTATTAAAACTTTGCAGACTGGGGGGATCCAAGTCACTGCCAGGCTGATGTGAAGCAGGATGGACCCCATTCTGAGACGAGCCTCAGGGGCATATCAAGGCACCAGCCACATGGGGAACCTCTATAGGGCACCTCCAGGATTGGGGCGGGATCCCTCAAAGTCAGGGTCTGCCCAGGGTCTGAAATGGGATTAAAATCCTCTGTGAACCCCACCCCCCCAAAGACCTGATTCTTCGTGGCCCTGCATCTGGTGTGGTTGTTTACCCCCGTGCAAAACGCTGGTGCAACCTCCCGCTTGGCACCCCACCAGGCCGTTCACAGGGGTGCAAAGCGGCTGGCTGCACGAGGGGTCAGGCCCTGGAGAATCAGGCCCAGGACTGGGAAGGGACGTGGGTCTGAGGAACAGTTCCATTCCATGTTCCCCCTTGTAACCCTACGCGCCTGTGGTGCAATGAGGTTTCCTATTAAAACCCTGGACTAACCCGGAAATAGACGCCCCCCCCACTCCGTGTGCCCAGATCAAACAGATCGCAGGGGGAGGCAAGTGGGAGTGAAGCGGACTGGACGACGGGGAGGTGGGGGTGGGAGCCGCTCACCACTCCCTGCTGGGTTTCAATGCTGGTTTCACCTCTTCCTCCGGGGCAGATGCTGATTAACACAGGACATTACAGTCCCAGGATGGTGTTGGTCTAGTCAGTTTCTCCCACAGCTGAGCTAGGCGGGACCCCCTGGGGTAGCTGGGGGTGGGTGAGTGGGGTGTCCGAAGGCAGAGGATGTCTGTCACTCGGACACGCTGGTTATGTCAGCTGTAGTTCAATTCTCTATCCATCCCGGCAGAATTTTCCATCCGCCTCCAAGAAGCAGCTGCTGGGAAAATGGATCAAGAGCACCACCTAGGGGTGAAGCGAGGACCCATAAGCACCCCCAGCTGGCCCACTCGAAGAGGGGTGGAGGCCAGGCAGGAAGCAAAGGGCCACGCCTCAGTGGCTGATCTGAATCCAAGCCTCCCACTGCGGCGACAGAAATGGTGACCGAGCTGGAGGAAGGATGGGGGTGTCCCCAGCGAGCCCGGACACGGCCGCCCCCTTCCCTGAGGGATCGGCCGTCACCCACGTGGCACACCCGTCCCTGCTGCGGGCAGACGGCTGGGTTCCGCGGCCCCAGGCGTCCGAGCACCGTCCGCGCCAGTCTGGTATCCGAGCAACCCGGCTCCCCTCAGTATATCGCCTCGTCCATGTTGTCATCACTGTCGGCCCCAAACTCCTCCCCGTTGTCGAAGTAGGACATGATGTAATCCGTCTCCTAGGGAACCAGCGGGGAGAAGGAGGCTAAGTCCTGGGGAGGGCAAAGGTCAATGGCCCCAGGTGGGCAAGCAATGGCATCTCCCCTGCCCGGAGTGCAGCCGCTGCTGGGTGGGAAGGGGCGGCTGTTTAACAGCGCGCAGCAACGCTGCAGTTTGGGACAGGAAGTGGAAGGGATGGGCACGTCCCATGGAAGCCACGAGGACGGGGAATCAGGGAGGTAGGATGGAATTTAGCCGGTCTGGGCCGAGACACTGCAGTGCAATGCTGGGGAACAGGCCCTGGCTTCCCCACGCTGGCCCCGTTCCTCACCCCACCCTGGAGGGACCCGCGCTAGGGGCCAGTGAACCGCTCGTTCAGCCTCTCTGCCGAGACTGGGGCCAACCGGAACGATGACCTTTGCAACGGGGACACTTGCGAACTGGCATCAGACCTGCCCAACTCAACCCTCCAGCCAGCTGCTTCCCATGGGAATAAAGGGCCCCGATCCTGCAGTCCCTGGACCAGCCAAAGCTCCCACCACTGAGATCAACGGGTGCAGGATGGGGTCCAGAGACTTGAGCGACAAACAACAGCTCTGCAGGGAGCGCGGCTGGCCGGCCTCTCCGGAGGCGCCTCACCTCTTCGTGTTCCTCCTCGTCATACTCCTCTTCCTCCTCTTCCTTTCCCTCCTCCTCCTCCTCCTTCTCCCCTTCTTCCTCTGACGTCACTTCCTCCTCCTTCTTCTCAAGGGTCTGGGGTTTAATAAGGGACAAAAGCCCAGAGGACGATCAAGCAGCAGCGACGCTCCTGTGCCATTCCCTGCGTCACCGCCCCGGCGTCCTGCTGGCTCCATCCCACCCTGCGGAGCCATCAGCTGCGAGCCTGACACTTCCCACTTCAGCTCCCCGGCGACCCACGCTGTAATGCAGCCACTTCTGGCCAAATACCCACAGCACAGCCAGGCACGCACAGCCACCTGCAACGTGCATCCTGGGGTACCGCGTGCGCCAGCGAGTAATGGCACACGGGAGGTCCCCGAAGCGGGGCGCTTTGCATAGCTGCCCCTCATGGCTACCTGAATGAGTGTGCCACAGAATGGGGGTGGGGGGTGGACGGGGCCAGAGGGATAGTTCAGCAATTCAGGATGGAAATAATACCCTTCTGACGCCCAGCAGTGCCATGGCGCGGAAGGATTCCCCACCCAGGAAATCAGAGGGAAACCATCGTTACCTCCAGTTTCTTAATGGCTTCCTCCTTATCCACCGGGAGCCGCTGTTTGTGCTTGGGGATCAGAATGGTGGTTCCTATCCCAGAGGAAGAGAGAAGGTCAGAACACAGCCAGACAATGGGGCATTCCTGGGGGACAGCACGCGATAGGCAGTGGGAGAGCTGATTTCATTACCTTCACGCATCACGATAAGCTCCCATTGCTGGGATAAGGGCTTGGCCTCATGCTGGCACACACACCTCATTAATTATTGGGCTCCATTTCTGGGTTATGTGCTAGGTCACCCTGTGGGATTTTGGCAGGGGGTAGGGCTATTCTGCTGACTCAGGCTAGAAACCAGACCAGGTGGGGCTCATTGCCTCCAATCCTGCGCATGAGAGGACCAGAAGGGAGCTAGGAGGAAGCCAGATAGGAGCTCTTGTGGGAACAGCAAGCACAGGCTAAGTATTATGTTTGTTTTCTTCTGTTAGGAGTAAAATGCAGCCCCTATCAAATCTGTGTAGCCTGGTAGATAAGACACTGGCCGGGCACTCAGGAGCTGTGGTTCTAATCCCTGCTCTGCTGGGTGACTTTGCATTAATCATTATTTTCTTTAATACTCACTCTCCTTCCGGAGCTTTCGAACTCGGATCTTTAGCTCCCGCGGTAAACGCCGCCAATCTGCAAAGACAAATAAGGAAATCACCGGACTGAGTCAGACTCATGGTTCGTCTGCTCCAATAGCCCAGCTCTGAGAGTGGCCGGAACCAGCTACTTCAGAAGGTGCAATAAACCCTCGAGTGGACAATGATGGAAGAACAGAAGTTTCTTCCTTCCTACTAGTTAGTGATTGGTTTGTGCCTTGAAGTATGAGGGTTTATAATCTATGTATCTATGCATCCCCCACCTGCACTCATCTATCCATTCCCATATACATTTATCTATCTACCTATCATCATTTGTTCTTATTTATCAATCTATCTAATGTAACTGTGGATGTTCTCATCCACATAAATGTCTAAACTTCTTTTAAATCCTCTATGCTTTTTACTCTGGCAATATCCTGTGGCACAGAGTTCCATAGAGTATGAAAAAAAATTTCTTTCACCACTTCTCCGTGTGTTGCCTTTCAGTTTGACCGGATCTCCTGTCCTGCCATATTGTTGTGTCTCTAGTGTGATTATAAAGGTGATAAACCTAGCCGTGTTTTTTGCAATTCTCCACAGCTGTGAATCACAGTCTTCCCGGAATAAAACTCTGAAGAGAAAGGTGAGCAAGGGTTAGACTGTAAAGTATTCCCATGCATACCTGGGTTCCAATCAATAGCATTATCAATGGGGCCGGACATCTGATATTTATCTGAGTAGCGCTCAACATCTAAAAAGAAACAAACAGGGGTCAAAACTGCAGTTTTATAATAAGCATATAAATGGGCCTGAATTCTCAGGGCATGTCTACACTACCCGTCGGATTGGCGTGCAGCCATCGATCCAGCAGGGATCGATTTATCGCGTCTAGTCTAGATGCGATAAATCGACCCTCGAGCCCTCTCCCGTCGACTCCCGTACTCCAGCGCTGCGAGAGGCGCAGGCAGAGTTGATGGGGGAGCGGCAGCAGTCGACTCACTGCAGTGAAGACACCACGGTAAGTCCAGCTAAATTGCGTAACTTAGATCGATCACCCCATCTCCCCCCCCCGCCAGTGTAGACCAGGGCTTAGTTAAACTCAAACCTTGTCTACACATTTAACTATCCCAGTGTAGTAAAGCCATACAACCCCTGTAGTGTGGACACAGTATAAAATGCTTATACTAGTACAGCTATACCAGAATAAGCTAGCCCAGTGGAAAGCACCTTTATCCTGATAAAACTGCATCCGCACTAGGAGTTGCACTGGTATAACGATATTGGTAAAAAAAATCACATCCCTGACCAACAGAGTTATACCAGTACAAGTTTTAAGCACAGACCAGGTTTAAGCCCCTTTATACCAGTCTGGAAGCGTAAAGGGGCCTTAAAATGGGTATTACTTATATTTAAGGCTGCTTTATGCTTGCTGACTGGTATAATCATAATAAAAAACCCTATCGCTTATCATCAGTAGGTCCATTTTACATATGGGGAAACTGAGGCACGGGGCCGGGAAGTGAGTTGCCCAAGGTAACCCAGCAGGTCAGTGAAGGAGCTAGGAACAGAACTCAGGTCTCATCTGTCCTAGCCATGTGCACCAGCCACTGGGTCCCACCGCCTCATGGGTAAAAGGACTTTAGTATCACTGAGAATTCAGGCCCAGTGTTTTCATTTGCATTAAGTTGTTTAAAGTCCAGTTAAAATGTTGGTCCTAAATCAACTGGAGCTGCCCCCGGTACCTTTCTTGGGGGCGGCCGGCTTGACATAATATGGCAGATTCTTCATGGCTCCCCTCAGCTCTTGCTTCAGTGCCAGCATGTATTCCACCTCCTCACCCGTCTGCAGAGGGACTGGCTTGTACTCCATGGGCTACAGAGACAGGATGGGAGAGAAGCAAGTATCAACTTCAAAGCTGGGGCTGCCAAGCCGATGATACGTACGCAGGGGTCCAGCATCATGAGAGAAGGGGCCCAGCTGTGAAATCCAGACCTGGATTTCAAACCCCCTAAAGTTGGGGGAGGGAGTTAGGATCCGGGGCTTTGGTTTGAGCCCAGCTCTGACGTATAAACATACTGGTGTGTATGTACCTTTGTGTGTGTGTACGTACATATGTGTAAGTGTATGTCCGTGTATAGAGATGCATGCATGGGTGTGTGTATGTACATACATATGCATGGGTATCTATGTATATACGTACACATGTGGGTGCACGTGCTTGTACATACATAGGCAGGGGAGTGAATAGGTACATACATATGGATGGGCGTGTCTGTACACATGCATTGGTGCGTGTGTCCGTATGTGAGTGTAGGCACAGATGCGTGTGTGTTTGTGTATATAGATGCAAGGGGGGTGGGGCTATGGAGATTTTATAGAGTGCATTAAGGAGTGCTCTACAGCAGTGGTTCTCAACCAGGGGTCCGGGGCCCCCTGGGGGGCTGCGAGCAGGTTTCAGGGGCTCCGCCAAGCAGGGCCGGCATTAGACTGGTTGGGGCCAAAGGCAGAAAGCCAAAGCCCCAGCGCATGGGGCTGAAGCCCGGTGACCCAAGGCCCCACCACCTGAGCAACTTAGCGTCGCAGAGTCCCCTGTGGCGTGGGGCCCTGGGCAACTGCCCTGCTTGCTACCCCCGAACGCTGGCCCTGGCTCTTATATGCAGAAAAACAGTAGTTGTGAGCCGGGCAGTTTGTATAGCATGTTGGGGGGGGTGGGGGAGCTCAGAAGGAAAAAGGTTGAGAACCCCTCATCTACAGCCTGGATTCACTTAAATTCCAGGCTGGTAGCACCCAGAAGCTGCTCCCTCCTGATGGTTGGGGAAGAGCCACGAGTTGGTGGGTCTCGGCTCCCAGAGGACACACTTCCACATCCCCCTTTGGCACCAGTCGGCCGCCTTGCTAGCCGGGGGCTGAAAGGCCACGTAGACTCCCCCCCAGGTCAAGGGAGGGGCACTGGCAGGGCAGCGTGCGGGGCAGGTTTGTCCCACCACTCTCCCTGCCCCAGTGCTGCCAATCCAGCACCTTTCATCCACGCCATAGTGACTGTGTGTTTAACGGGACCCCAACGCAACGGACTCACAGGGAAGAGCGGCGAGGGCTGGAGGGTGGATGGGGGCAGCGAGTCGCCTTTCCCAATGCCCACAGCTTCCACGTTGAAGGTCATCTGGCTCCGACCCCTCCCTCTGCCTCCTCTTCCAGCCATGGCTCGCTCTGCGAGAAGAAGTGGACATAGAGCTGGGATCCAACACAGCCGAGACCTGCACAGGGGATGAGAGAGCCTTTTCTGATCCTCGAGAACCTAGAGAATGGCATCTTCCTAAAGCCACGGCCCCAGAAAGCCATGGGAGTGAGCTCCGTGCTAGGAACACCCTGCACGTAATAACATGAGGGCCACCTCGCTTGGAGGAAGTTAGTTTAATCTCAACACCTCAAAAATCTTCAAATGATTTATTCTCTGCACCTCCAGAGCAGTGCTTGACCCCAGTTTGGGGACTAACAGATGGAGACACAGACAGCCAAGGGGGAATAAGACCTTAAACCTAGATCTCCCGCAGCCTAGAACAGTATGCTCGCCCCTGCTCTATGCTCCTTCCAACACTAATAGGGAAACACACCTTCCCTTTTGTCCGGTGTACTCACCCTTCTGCTGCTAGGCCTACAACCCACTGCAGCCATCCTCTTCATATCTTGCAGCATGTTAAGGCGGGGGGGGGGGGGGTTAAACGATGTCCAACCTGCGCATTAGCCAACCACGCAAGTTGCCCTGATGTGGTACATGTAAGAGAACAAGGGTGCGCAATCCGGGACCCGGGGCGCATGGCTCAGAGCTGAGGGTGGATGGGGCACGAACCGGAGTACGTGGAGCTGGATACCCAGGGCAGGGCTCAGAGCGGAGGGTGCCTGACGCTCAGGGAATGGCTCCTAGCGGACAGCGCAAGCCCAATGCTCCAGCGGCTCAGTAACCAACACAGGGCTCAGAACTGAGGCTATGAGGTGCAGGGTCGGGGTCCCCTGGTGCACGGCGCAGGACCCAATGCCCAGGGCGCAGGGCTCGGGCGCACCGGGCCAAGGCCAGGCCGGGCTCGATGCTCCCGGGCCCCGGGGAAGGGGTGTGTCGGGGCGGGGCGCTGCCAGCCGCTCCCCGCCTCCCATTGGGCCGCCGCGGACCGGCCCGAACCGACTCGGCGCTTTACCCGGGCCGCGCAACTGGGTCGGGCTCGCACCGCCCTCTCCGACGACTCCACGTGGGCTCCGCCCGGAAGCGAATCTGGATACACAACGTTCCGAAGGGGCGGGGCCCAAAGGCGGCCGCTCAGTGGTGCGCGCCGGGGCCAATCAAAGGACGGAGGAGAAGGAGGAGGAGGGCGTAAGGGGCGGAGCCTGAGACGTTTGCTGGAGGAGAGAGAAAGAGACAAAGAGATGAAGGTGGATAAGAAAGAAAGGAGGATGGATGGAGGAGAAGAAAGAAATGGATGGATGGGAAAAAGGATGGATGGATGGAGGAGAAAGAGAGAGAAAGAAAGATGGATAGATGGAGTAGAAAAAGAAAGATGGATGGATGGGAAAAAAGATGGATGGATGGAGTAGAAAAAGAAAGAAAGAGAGAAAACATGGCTGGATGGATGAGAAGGAGAGAGAAGGGAGAGAAGTGTAGGGGTGTGTGGAAGGAGTTCAGGAGGGTCTTCAAGCCCCCAACACTCTTTGGGCCCTGACTTCTTCCCCCCCACTGCTCTGCCCTGCTAGCCAGGGGCACAGGAACCCCATGGGGGCAGCGTTAGGATTACATGTGCATGGGGAGAGGGTTAGGGTGGATGGAGGGACCTGCCATGTGCTGGGCCGGGACTGCCCCAAAGGGGGAAATCCCCTGATTCCCTATTGGCCGGGGGTTTAAGTTACTACTGTCCTTGTTAAACCTGCCCTGGAGGTTGGGCCTCTAGAACTGGGGTTCCCTGGAGTGGCAGGTTTGACAGCATGGTCTGACCTGGAGCCATCTCTCTAGGCATTTCTACCCTAACAGCTGAGCATGCAAAGCTCCCTGGGTAGCCTAGATCCTCAACTCTGCCTCACTGCTACGGCCCAGCCAGCTAGAGCTGACTCCAAGGGCATCGGTCCCCAAGACTGATGACCTCCGACAGTAAAACAAAGGGCTTCAGAGCTAAGGCAGCTACTGCCCCCTTCCACTGGGACAAATAACTATTACATGACATGGGGCCTTGCAAAACTGCCAACGACACAGGTCGTCAGAACTAGAGAGATACCAGTGTGTGGAGCCCCCATGGGAGATCTCCCATCCAAGTAGTAGCTTGTAGGAGGACCTGAGATGCATCTCTTCCATTGCTTTCCCTTGCTCCCCTCTTCAGCCTTTCCTGAAGTTGCCTCTACAATAGGAACAAAAACATCCATTTCCTGACAATAGGGAGCTCTATACAGGATTTTCCACCCTACTCTATCTCAGGAGCCAGATCTGCTCCAAGTTACACAGATATAAATAGCAAAGAACTGGCTGCTTTCAGGAACAGCTCTTCTGTACTCCTTGTTCTAAGATGAAATTTCGCTCTCCCTCTTCCTCTGATTAGTCAGCACCTTGCTGTTTTGCTTCTGCATGCAAACGAGTCCCTCACAATAAACAGGCCACTGATCTTCCTGACTTTTAAAGAAAGATTTTGAGGCTGGTAGAGGAAGGCTGGAGCAATGGTTAGGAGGCTGGCCTCCAACTTAAGAGACCTGCATTCAGTTCTGGTCTTATGCGAGTCATTTAGCCGCTGTGTGCCTCAGTTTCCCCATCTGCACAATGGGGATAACCGCGCTGCCCTGCCTCACGTGCAGGGTTGTGAGGATAAATGTGTTAAAGGTTGTGAGATGTGCTGATATTACGATGATTGGGGCGGGATAAATACCTCAGATAGAGGAGTTTAGTGCAACACCATCAGGCTGGATCCGTTTTCTAATAGGAGATTAGTGCTTTCGTATGGCTGCTGTAGGTTTAAATCCCGCTCAGGTTGCAGGCTGGGATGAGATCGTGTGGGTGTCTAGCTGACCTGTTGGGGATGTTTAGCCACATAACACAAATCAACTGTCCCCGAAGACTGCTCTCTCGGCTGCAGCTTCTGTCCCCAGGCAGCGGGGGGCGGGGGGGGGGGGGAAATGTCAGACCCAACAGGGAAGTTGCTAGGGTGAGCAAATCATCTCACGCTGCGGCCTCCTCACGCCAAGCGCAAGGCGCTTTGGCTGCCGCCGCTAAAGGTTTCACGGCATGAAGGAAGGGGACTCCATGCTGGAAGGGGGGGCTGCAGGAGCCTTTGGTTGCTCTCATTCCCCCCCCCCCCCCATGGATCGCTGCTCTGAAAAGCGCACCAACAAGCTCCTTGCAGCTAAGGCAGGTGGCGCGTAGAGCAGGGTAGCTGCAGGGACCACGGCTGCCTGGCTAAAGCTTTCACACCTCCCTCCACATGATCCAGATCTCCCTTCCCCTGGACCAGGGCTGCTCCGTCCTTTATACGGGTCCTGAGAAGCAGAGGCGGGGGCCTGTGTGGGGAGCCCCTTCCAGCTAAACTGACTTGGGGTCTGTGAGCTGAGACTCTCCTGATGCTGTGTGTGTGTGTGTGTGTGTGTGTGTGTGTGTGTGAGATCTGTCAGCCTTGCCTAGACTACAGGGGTGTCATTTGCTATGGGGCAGGCCCTTTGACCTTGTCCCCCTCCCCCTGACTTTTCATAGGTCCATATGCTCCATTGTGTCCTCCACTTTTTGCTCCCCCCCACCCCCAACATTGCAGGTTATCATATAATCACATATTCATTGATTACAAGGCCACTTTGATCATCTCGTCTGACCCTCCCATAGAGCACGGGCCAGAGACCTGCCCCGAAATAACTCCCAGGGCAGAGTTTTTTAGAAAACCCTCCAATCTTAATATAATATCCTAGAGGCTGTCACAATTCCCCTCTCCCCGGTGCCTGTGCCAGACTAGAGCATGAAATCAGGGCTTCCCGACTCCAGCCATGTAGCTTGATTCCAGCCCACACAACAGCGTTGGCCTACAGTCTATTCGCACACACACTCGTGCGAGAGTGTGTGTGTGTCTGGAATATTATATTAAGATTGCTCTGCCCTAGGATCAAAGATTGCTCTGCCCTAGCATCAAATTTTCACAAGAGCTCAGCTCCCATTTGGACACCGAATTAAGTGGCCGGATTTTCCAAAGTGCGGGAACCTGCCCCGGGGAGAGGCTGCTGGGTGCTGATACCTCTGGAGGATCCAGGCCCCGGGTGCGGGTACCTCTTTGAAAGATCCCAGCCGCGCCGTGCCGCGCTTTGTAGCATGATGAAGCACCCTGCTACCTCTGACGCCAGCCCCCCGCCCGGAGGATGCTTTCTGCCGAGCGGCTCCTTGGCTGCGCTGCAGATGGGGTGACTCATCTCCCTCTCCCCTCCACCCCGATTACGACAGGGCGGCCGAAAATAGCAACGAGGGGGGAGGGGGGAACCCAAAATAACTGCCAGCACCTGGCTGGTGCCGGGATGAGAAGCAGAGAAAAGATGCGCTTGGTTCCTACCTCCTGCTCCCAGGGAGCCGGGATTCTAGTCTCAATCTGCAGCAGAAGCGGGGCTCTGGGAGCGGGCCCAGCTGTGAAGTTGCCTTGGCAACCAAGATAGATGGGGGGGAGGAAGGGAAAGAAAGAAAGAAAGAAAGAAAGAAAGAAAGAAAGAAAGAAAGCGACCAACGTCTAGAAAGAGAGTCCCCTTCCCCCGGCCAGCTGTCCCAGTTTCATAGTTCATTTCCTCTCTATGGTCCTAGAATAAATCATTCCTCTCTCCACCTGGCTGAATGTCGGCTGTGAAAGGGGCCCAAGGGACTTAGGAACCTCACCGCCATTGAATTTCACTGGCAGGCCGGTACCTGGATCCCTTTGCAAATAGCCATGGAAGAGCTCCGGGGGAGGGGGAGGGCGGAGCTGCAGGGTTCGGATCCCGGGAAGTCCTCACAAAAATCAATTTAATATACAGTCCTCAAATAAAGGACATATCAGATATTCAACTGATAAGAACAGATATTAGCTTAGGAGATAATGTTTGTGCTTCATGGTCCAAGAGACGCAGACAAGGTTTTCATCTCAGGGACAAAAGACCAAACACATCAAGACACTTGATCATAGCCTTTAATAGGCCAAGAGTCTACTTACACTTGATCTTAGCTCTCACGGCGAGCAGGCACCCAGCCAGACTCCGCAGTCCCCCATGCTGCTCTCGCTCCGGCACGGTGCCATCCGCTTCAGTGGGAATCGCTCCGTAGTCCATCCGGTGTTAGTGAGAAGGGTGGGGGTCAGCCCTTGACATCTACACTGCAAAAAAACAACAACCCCGGGGCAGCAAGTCTCAGCACCCGGATCAACTGCCTCGGGCTCCCGTGCTGGGGCTAAAACTAGCAGTGTAGACATTCTGTAACTAATCTCGTTCCCTGAAAGGCCCAGGCGGCTTTAGCCGATAACGTCTCTCACCACAGAATCAGCTGGAGGCAGACACTGGGGCGTGGGAAATTCCAGCCCAGATGGTTAAAGTTTGGCAAAGTTAAGAGGAGCAACTGAAAACAAGGTCTTATGGAACCTGACGCATTCCTGTGTCCCTCTTCACCATGGCAGCTGAGCATCTCCCAATCATTAACAGGCTTCTGTCTTACAACATCCCTGGGAGGCAGGGAAGGATTATACCCATTTTACAGATGACTTGATGACACAGGAGGACTGTGGCAGTACTGGATTTGAGCTCGGGTCTCCTGAATCCCACTCTCCACTAAGCCAGCTCTCCTACCCCCTGCCTCTGTGTAACTTACCAGGGCAATCAGCTAATACATAGCATCCCTATAGCGCAAGACCCGCTGGCCCAACTTGGCCATATGTGTTTCATAGTGTCACTCCGCTTTACAGACGGTTGCAGGGCTATGGTCACTGACGTGGGTGTCAGCCCATCCTGCATCAAGCCATGGGAACCAAATAACACTGACTAAGCCTGCCAAATCACACAGCAAAGGCAGGGGGAATGAAGCCAAGAAATTGATGGGAAATGAGTTTTCCAGCTGTGAGCCTATAAAGTCAGGGCCTCTCTCTCTCAAATGTCAGCCTACGGGTTGTTTACTGGAGACTACAAGTCAGAAGATCTGGGTTTGATGCCTAGCTCTGCTACTGACCAGTTGTGTGACCTTGGGCAAATCACTTCTCTTGTGACTATAAATTCTGCAGGGCAGGCACTGTGTC